GTCAGGGACAGCATCAGCTAAACCCACTGAGGAGGAGGAGGAGGAGAGGTGAAGACGGCGCTTACATAAAAACACTGATCTTACTTGAAATAAAATCTCCCGCGGTAAAACTTAGCGTGAAGAGTGGTTAATTTTTGAGTCTTTAATCGTTACGCGCGGACCTCTACCACCCCCCTCTCTCCTCCCCCTTCAACCATCCCTCAACCCTCCTTCTGATGAGAAACATATAATCACCAGGCACCACCAACTTGACCTAATTCATGACCTAAGGTGACCTCCTCTTGTGACTGCGGCTTTACTTCCGGGTACAAAGGCAGGGTGAGTGTTTGTACCCCATCTCCTGTACCCAGTCGTGAATGAGGGGGAACAAGTCTCTCTCTCTTCACATTACTCTTCCGTGACAGGTGGAATTACAACAGCTACTAAATATAGTTCGGGTAATGGGGAAAAATTATACTATATTATCCCATTTGGAACCGTTATCACCTGTCATGTATCTAAATTTAACTATAAAATACAATCATATATTAATATCCCTTCACAAATATCTATATATCACAACCTTGATATAAATAAACCATAGATTACATAAATATATATCTTTTATACAAACCTAATATACGAACAATAAACAAAATCACATCGGAATATTTATCATCAAAATAAATCATTCACTATTAAAATAAATAATATATATCCCTCTATATCAATAAATATAATAAATATAACCCCGGTATATTATAATTTACTATATAACAACGATCAGACTCTACTATTGTATTCAGAATTAATTTACGATTTTTAACCTATTTATAAACTCAATGAAAAGAGAATAGTTTACGAGGCGTTTCGTGTAATAGAAGGCCACCTCATTATCCACCCATCATTATTGTATAGACGTATTAATCATAATGGAAAGTGTACAAGATTAGTGTTTACGAATAAATGCATCTCCTAAAAGTTTAAATGTCGGTGAAGGCGGTCACCTGATGTACCCAAATAAACACAGTGGCAAACTATTACTTTTGACGACGTTTGAAAATTGCGTTTGGAGAAAATAGATATAGTTTGGAATATAGACAAATATTTTTTGTATGTGCGGTTACATATGCGTTTGTGTGTTTGTGTATTTGTTTCTGTAAGAGCCTATAATATTAACACGATGCTACAGGGTAAAGGAGATGTAGAACGTGATTTTACACAAACTCTTGTTTTACTTCACTGTTAAACAAAAGAGGAGGATTTGTTGTTGTTTGTAAATAGAATATAGATGAGACAACAAGGATATGCAACAACACGAAAATGAAAATACTAAAAAGTGTTGACTTATTTTGTATGATATCCGAAGTTAGGATCCCTGTCTGACAAACACACCAGTACTGTAGCCGAAGTAAGAACGACTATGTTACTAGAACGAGGCAAAGAATTATGTGGGTACTTCACCTTTATAAGCTGGACTAATGGCCAGGTGAGTGTTACTGACAAACACACACACACACACACTCAACCATCACCTCCAAACACGAAACATCATGTCCAAACTCCAGGAACTCTGTGCGGCCCTTCTCTCCCCACCATCCCCCTCCCTCCCCTGCCCTCCTCCCTCCCCCACCATCACCACCTCACAACAGTTGATGACGGATAACACACTCTCCCTCCACGTCACTCAGTATCAGGAGGCTGCTACCATGACAGAACCTCCCCCACCCTCCTCCCTCCCCCCTCCCTCCTCCCTACCTCCTGACGGTGCTACTGGAGGAGGAAGAGGATAAAAAAAAATAATACGTGTCTCCCTCTGAATGAGTAGCTTTTTTTATGGTTTATTTTCATCTTTATTCGGGTTGATGGGAACAGTGTTGTGGCCAGGTTGCTTAATAGGTCACATTCTTCTAGTGTGACCTGGTTTAAAATCTCCTTAGGTTCATATCTTACCGTGTGACCTGGTTTTAGGGAGCTCTGTGACACGAATAACTTACCCTAATTAAATGAGGTGGTGTTAGGAGGTGTGTGTGTGTGTGTGTGTGTGTGTGTGTACAGAGAGAGAGAAGGAATAAGAAAAAATAAAGAAAGAGGGAATAAGAGAGAAAATATGATAAAGCAGAGGGATAGGAGAGACTGAGGATAACAACGGCGTATATCAACAATTGATTCGGTGTGTAGGAGGTTAAAGGCGATGAACTGAAGGAGAGAGAGAGAGAGAGAGAGAGATAGAGATAGAGAGATAAAAACATACAGACAGATAAGAGATAGAGAGAGCGACAAAGAGACAGATAGAGATAGAATATATATTTATATATTTTACTTATATTGAGAGAGAGAGAGAGAGAGAGAGAGAGAGAGAGAGGTCTTAGAGGGGGGAGAGAGGAAAAAGGAAAGAAATATGTGGGAGAAAGGTGAGAGAAAGAGAGAGAAGAATTATGGGAGGCAGAGAGACTAGAGAGATTGAAAGAGAAACACAAATTATCAGAGACACAGAGAGAGAGTTAAGATATATAGACGAGAGAGAGAGAGAGACAGAGAGAGAGAGAGAGAGAGAGAGAGAGACAGAGAGAGAGAGAGAGAGACAGAGAGAGTCAGAAACAAAGAGAAAGAAAAAAAGACGGCAGAGAGAGAGGGAGACGGGGTAGGAAGAATCAAGAGAGAAAAAAGACGAAAAAGAGACAGAGAAAGACAAAAAAAAGAGAGAAAAATAAGAGACAACAAAGAGAAAGACACCATGAGCACTCTTTCTCTCTCTCTCTCTCAATATTAACACAGGCAAATTGTCACACGGTGAAAATAAACATAGTCAGGGGCGGGGGTGTTCAAAGTGGTGGTGTGTTTATGTAAATGTTTAACTTGCTTACGTGGTGATAGAAAGAGAATAAGCTGCTCCCAGTGGTACAGTCCTATGCTTACTCTGCCGCCTCCATGGTATGCTAGTTAAGGTGCAAAGGAGAAACATTTTATTTTGTTATTGCTTTTATGTATGTATGACCTTGTGTATGTATGACCTTGTGTATGTATGACCTTGTGTATGTATGACCTTGTGTATGTATAAAATCGCGTATGTATGACCTATGAATGCAAAAAATATTACTAAAACTTAATGTAAAGGCGAGAAATAAATGTAATTCCTTTTCTTATGAACGCAGAACACCTACCCTGGGCCTCCGTGTGTAAAGAAAAATAATATATCCTCCTTATTTCGCTAATTTAAACGTTCCTCCGTGTCTGAACGCCATGAGGGGAGAGAACGGCTTCAGTTGAGAGAGAACTGCTTGAAGGGAGAGAACGGCTTGAAGGGAGAGAACGGTTTGTGGGACAACGGCTTGGGGGAGATAACGGCTTGAGGGAGACAACGGCTTGAGGGAGAGAACGGCTTGAGGGGAGAGAGAATGCCTTGAGGGAGAACGGCTTGAGGGAGAGAACGGCTTGAGGGAGAGAACGGCTTGAGGGAGACAACGGCTTGAGGGAGAGAACGGCTTGAGGGGAGAGAAACGGCTTGAGGGAGAGAACGGCTTGAGGGAGAGAACGGCTGAGGGAGACAACGGCTTGAGGGAGAGAACGGCTTGAGGGAGACAACGGCTTGGGGGAGATAACGCCTGAGGGAGACAATGGCTTAAAGGAGATAACGGCTTGAGGGAGACAACGGCTTGAGGGAGAGAACGGTTGAGGGGAGAGAATGCCCTTTGAGGGGAGAGAACGGCTTGGAGGGAGAGAACAGCCGGAGGGAGAGAATGGCTGGAGGAGGCAGAGAACGGCCTGGGGAGAGAACAGCTTGAGGGGAGATGTCTTCCGCTTGAAGGAGACAACGGCTTGAGGGAGAGAACGGCTTGAGGGGGAGAGAATGCCTTGAGGGAGAAAAAACGGCTTGAAGGGGAGAGAACGGCTTGAAGGGGAGAGAACGGCTTGGAGGGAGAGAACGGCTTGAGAGGAGAGAACGGCTTGAGGAGAGAGAACGCCTTGAGGTGGCAGAACGGCTTGAGGGAGAGAGAGCCGGCTTGTGTGGGGAGATAACGGCTTGAGGGGAGAGAACGGCTTGAAGGGAGAAGTAGAACACATGGGAGAATGAACCAAGAGTCTCTTACCGAGTTTCTAGACGGCTAATCTCTCTGATTTATCTCTCAGGGCTAAAAGTCTCTCTGTTGTATCTCTCAGGGCTAAAGTTATCTCTGCTGTATCTCTCAGGGCTAAAGTTATCTCTCATCTCTCAGGGCTAAGGTTATCTCTGTTGTATCTCTGAGGGCTAAAGTTATCTCTCATCTCTCAGGGCTAAGGTTATCTCTGTTGTATCTCTCAGGGCTAAAGTTATCTCTCATCTCTCAGGGCTAAGGTTATCTCTGTTGTATCTCTGAGGGCTAAAGTTATCTCTCATCTCTCAGGGCTAAGGTTATCTCTGTTGTATCTCTGAGGGCTAAAGTTATCTCTCATCTCTCAGGGCTAAGGTTATCTCTGTTGTATCTCTGAGGGCTAAAGTTATCTCTCATCTCTCAGGGCTAAGGTTATCTCTGTTGTATCTCTCAGGGCTAAGGTTATCTCTGTTGTATCTCTCAGGGCTAAGGTTATCTCTGTTGTATCTCTCAGGGCTAAAGTTATCTCTCATCTCTCAGTTGTTTATACTACGGTCCGCTGTGTCCCTCGTAGGTGAAGCAGAGGGCATTTGTTACGTGAGAGAGAGACAGAGACAGAGAGAGAGACCGAGAGAGAGAGACCGAGAGAGAGAGACAGAGAGAGAGAGAGAGAGAGATAGACAAAGAGAGAGAGATAGAGATAAAAAATAGTCCCTTATGTGATTAAAACTTTACAGGAACAAAAACGAAAGTTGGTCGTCTGTCTCACGGGAAAGGATTCGAAGCTTCAATACACCGCAGTTCAAGAATGGTTCAATGGTTCACTTCAACACGTCCTTGACAACAACACTAACACGTAAATAAGATTAGAATAACAACACAAACACTTCGGTAACCAGAATCCCACACCAATAATAAAAAAACATCAACAAAGGCTTAGTTCCTTACCTGCCAACGTACCGAGGACGCGTGTACAACTCCAAGCAGATAGTAGCAGGAGAAGCAGGTAGGAAGCAGAAAGAGCGGTGGCCCCTGGAGCGAGCAGAAGCGAGGGGAAGTATTGTGTGTGTTTTATGTTGAGGGTGAGGGACGGGACCGGAGCGTGGGTAGCTGCTCGGGCGAGTTGTACCTCCACAC